CCTTGTCAACGAAATAATAATTACTTAATGACTTAATTCATTTTGTTAACGAAAAGCGCCAGAACTTAAGAAAATGATTGTAGTTTTAACTTACATTACACAAATTTAAAATAAAATTGTGCTCTAACTAAGCATCATTATTCAAAACTTTAAATGCAAAAGTGTTTCATTTAATATTCTTTCGCATATATTATTAAAAAACTTAAGTTTTTGAACTAAATTTTATAACAAACGAAACTTTATCATGTTTTTGTTAACTTACGTTACATAAAAATTGCAAAAGTTCATTCGTTATTTTCTTAGAATATATATATTTTATAAGGTATAAAATCTGACCAACAACAATTTGAACATGTTAGCTCTATTTTCACGCTAATTTAATTCCGATTATGCAAATAAATTCATGGTTATAATAACATTTTACAATGATACCTTTTTTATCATGCGACAATGAGAAAAACTGTAACTTTCGGAAGCATAAAAATGACTTAAATAAATTAATTTTAGTGCTAAAGGTATATTTTAATATACCTTTTATATATATATATATATATATATATATATATATATATATATATATATATATATATATATATATATATATATATATATATATATATATATACTTTTTTTATTTTTAAGATGTTTTTTGATAAAAAGTTAAAATTAATAAAGGAGGGGGGGAGGGTCTATAATAAACTTGGGGTGGAAGAAAAATTCCAAAATTATTAAAGATTCCTTCCAGTTTATTAAGCACCTAAGAGTATGTTAAAAATATGTTGTTGATTTTTAACTAGAGAATAGTATAAACTTATTTTTGTTTAATCTCTCAAGATTTAGTTTATTTTTATTTTTTAATTCTTTTAAAATAAAAGTGATTTATTTAAGTTACTTATTTTTGTCTTTTCATTACTTTAGGTTAGTAGTACGAAATTTTATGAAAAAAAAAACATCTCAAGATTTCTTTAAGTTTCTTTGTTATGTACAGTAGTAATACTACTGGTAATATGCTTCATGATAATAGTGTAATTAAAATAAATGATATTGGTCCTTAAGAAGTTATGCACTAATAGACAACTTAAAGATAATCAAAATAGAAGAGATATAGCAATATGTAATAAAAGTTATCTTTGTTATAATGTAAAAAATGTTGCTCTGCGAGCAGAAAATATTTTAAACCGTAATGAGGATAATGTGGTTAGAGGAGGTAATAACTGTAATCAAAATGAAAAGTATAGAGCGAGGCGAAATGAAATTAATCAACAAAATATAAGAAAACAAAATTCTACTAAGTATAAGAAATGCTGCTTAGCAAGCAGAAATTAATTTGATCCCTATTAAGGATAAGTGGTTAAGCGAGTTAATAATAACTGTCGTCGAATCTAAAGAATATGGAGCTAGGCGAGATAAAATTCATCATGAAATTAATTTACTATGAGTATGAATTGCAGCTAAACAAGGAATATTGCATTTTATAGCAAGAAGTAATACTATTACAGATTATAATTTTTGAGCAAAAGTGAACCAGATTTGTCGGCATTGTGGTGCTAAGGAGGTTCTTGATAAAACACATTTTCTATGTTACCAAAATGAAAAGGTAGTTTTTAATCTACTTTCACCGCCTCCTTAAGCTTTACTTAACTATTATTTATACAGAGTTATATAGATCATAATTCCAAAATTAATTTTTTTTTTTAGTTTTAGAAACTATAATGAGTGTCTGTCCTTTGCATTATTTATAGCTAATCTGGTGCAACCTAGGAATCATGGGCCACCATGTTTTAAAATATGATGGTCAAGTTTTTTATTGTTTAGATAACCTTACGCCAGATCAAGATATACACCTCACATATTGTTGATTGTACATCTATGACACATTTGCTACAGTAATTTTTAGAATGCAACGACGTGGCAATAATTTTTGCTTATATGATTTAATATTTCATTTTCAAAATAAAGCTAGTGAAGTAAACTTATTTGCTCATGCATTTAAAAACATGGCTGAAATAGCTACTGAAGAAATTCATCAAGCAGCTATAGAGTATTTAAACTTAAACTAAATAATCTCCTAAATGATATTTTCAAGCATGGTATATTAGAAAAGATTGTAACTCATGTTCAGGCTATTAAATTTCAAAAGCGTGGTTTGCCGCATGTTCATATTTTACCTTATTTTACATTTCATGATAAGCTGAGTTGTGCAATGGCACTCAAATGAAAGGGTTTTACTGTTATAACAGATTTTAAATAGTTATTAATGTTATAATCGTGAAGAGCTTAAAGGTTATAATACTAGCCAAGCAAGTGTTGTGACTTGCAGTGCGTGTAGAGCTAGGCTGTTAAACTAGCCTAGCAAGTGACTTGCAGTGTGTAGAGCTAGACTATTACTAGCCGATTTTTTTTTTTTTAACTAAAATTCTATTCAAAAAAAAAAAGTAAAATGGTGTAGAGCAAGATTGGCACCCTTGTCAACCAAGCGGTGTATTTAACAGAGGTGTGACAGCATGTGGATAACAAGACAAAGGTGTTGCTGTTGTATATCTAGGTTCTTTTGTCTAGACTTTCATAATTATATAGAAAACACATGTATATTATTATTTAGTGTAATGATTATACAAATGTTATTCTATTTGCTATTGATTTGCGTAACTATTGTGATATACTTTGTTGTAATGTTTTGTGTTGAAAGACAGCTTGGCTTACCTTTCCGTTAGTGTCTATCGTTAAAAATGATTATAGTTAATAATTACATTAATCTACCTAACTGTTTTTAATCTAAATATTAAAAGCCAAGATAACATTAGATATCACTATAATCCAATTGCTTAAACCTCAAATTCTTTTTTTTTATTTGTTATTAAAAATTTTGCTCTTTGAATGAGATATTATAGTTAGTTTTTCATTAAAGAAATTGATTTGAAAATCAATCCCATTGCCAAAATGTTTTTATAATAAAGTAATTTTTTAAATCTATTTTACTTGAGATAATTTCAATTTTTTTTTAATAAATAATTACCAACTAAAATAGAGTTACATAAACGTCCCTATC